CAGCCATAAAGCCAGGCCTGCTCTTCACCAGCTGCTCGTTTTCAGCTTCGTTCCTCATTTTCATTAAAATGTCAGAAAACGTAGAGGCCAAGTAAGAAAAGTTGTCACAAGAAAGTGTTGTTTTGAGTATGGAAATACTATAGTTGATGGAAAAAAAGCAAGAGAAGAAATCTTTCATCTTTATGCAATTATTTCTGGAACCTTAAAGGCCCACCACATCTTTCAGTCTACGCATCTGTCAGCAGCAAGATAGCTTTTCTTCTACTACTATGTGACTTTATGATTTATTGCTTGGTGACAGATAACCATTATCAATAATTTAATTGTCCCAGGATGTTCAAACTACACATTTGAATCTGGGATTTATGTTCATTTCCTCTTAATGTTCATGCTAATGACAAGTGCGTGTGTTCTGACACACAATATTGTCTCCAAGTTGTTAGGGAAATATAAACTTCACGGCCTGGGTGCAATGGATCTGTGATATATTAGGGGCTTTGTTATTCTGCTCTGTCACTGAAACTTTTCTTTGGCGAGTAAATGAGCTTGAGATTCACAGGGCTGTCTTGGGAATTGAGTCACTAATTTGCTTTAAGCTAACTGATCGCTTTGTGTGAAAGCTCGGTACCTCTTTCATTCCACGCCTCCTAAAATGAGTCGAATGAGCTGCTGACGCTGGGGGTCGGATGTGAATCGTCCCAGGAGGCTGAACTAGATAATATGTTAGTTTAAGAATTTCATCTCATAGTAAATTAAATGGTTGTTCCTTGCACATTTCTACCAAAATAATCTTTGTTTTACACGTGACAGCAGGATGACTGTGATGGAAACATGTAACGTTGTTTCTTCAGCAGTGGTATTCAAGTTTCCATGCGGGCTGTTCGCAGAGCTTATTTCCAGAGTCAGAAGCTAACTGCTCCCCCACTGTAAATTGTGGTTTGTCTCTTCTTTAGCCACTTAATCTTTGCCACACACTGCTCAGGATCCAGATCAACAGAAGGAAGCAATGCTGCATCTTGGCCACTTCTCAATTCAGACAACCTTATCTTTTACTGTTTGGTGACCTGGCACGTGCCAGGACCAGCATGTCTGCAGCCATAGCCATTGCAGTGGGAAGTTACATTGCACTGCTTCCGAAGGAATTAATTTTACCAATTATTGTGCCCTCCCCTGCTTAAACAGAGTTGTTCCTCCATGCTCCATATTTTGCTGCTTTGGCTATTGAAGCCAGCCACAGTCATCCATTTTCATGAATTTTTTCCTTGAGCACAATTTTACATTGTAACATGTGCCTTTCATCCTATTGCCTAGTTATCACTTCAGAAATAGTCACGACTTGCTGGGAAGGATATCCATGGACAGCATCACCATGGCTTGTGTTTATCCTCTTGACTTGTTTCTGTGCTATCTGCCAGACACCATTCAGTTGGCAAGTTCATCCCTCTTTTCCAGTTGTTGTCTTTGGCAAGTTACATGTTTTATCCTGGTCTACGTGGAGCATGGTACCCTTCAGCTGCTTGATCTTTCTTCTACAACGACTGTAAACAATTCTACTTTGAACACAAATGTTTTCTTTCTGAAAGGTTCATAAATCCACGTAAAGAAGCTTTGACTTTGGCTACCAAATTATATGATATGGCCTAATCCTATCACCTTTGCAGTTCTCCAGTGGCACAAAACCATCTTCACTATTTTCATGTGTTTTCTTCCATCATTTGGGAATCCTGATGTGGTGACAAGATAGTAGTTGGCCAGTCAAAACCTTTGTTTGTTGTCATTTTGAGGGTGTATTGGAGAAAGGCCAGAAGAATGACATTATACTAATGCTGAACCATGAAACAATGTCATAAACCAGCAGTTTTCAGTCAACTCCCCATTGTGCCAGGATCCTGGAGTGCCTTTAAAGCTTATCCACTCTTCATTAGGTGAGAATCTGCCTAGAAGCTTTGGAGGGGGGGGAGGCAAAATTGTTCATTACAATCCTGGTGGTAAGGTTTTGTCCAGCCGTGCTGTGACATACCCCACTTCTCCAAGGGGCATGGTGAATGCAGGAGAGCAACACAGAGCACCTGTGATTCAGTGGGTGCCTCTGGCAGCAGAATTTTCCTCCGATGGCTGAGCCTTGAACTGCACCTTCTAATACCCAGATTAAATAACTAGG